CCGCCGGACGGGGCGGACGCGCGGGCCACCGGGGACGCCGGTCAGGGACTCCCGCGGCCACGGGCGTCGCTCCTTCATTCATTCGCTCGTTCGCTGAGCGCGTCGCCTGTGCCGGGCAGGGGGCCAGGCTCCGGGTGTCGCGGGGTCCCGGCGGACCTGTGCTGGCGGGGGGGGGGCGCTTACATTCTCGGACGAGGCTGTGGACGGAGGGAGACGTGTCGTCTACCTGGAAAATAAGGGTTACCTGCGCGAGTGAAGTCTCCGCGAAGGCCTCTTTGGGGAGGCGACATCTGAGCTGTTGGAGGTCCTGAAGGGGCGCTGCCCGGTGTGGGCGCGGACAGAGCAAAGGCCCAAGAGAAGACACTCTTGCTGGTAGAGTTGATACACAGAGATCAGAGCCAGTTGAGGCAGGTCCTGGAAGGAGTTGGGGTCTTATTCCAACGGAGTTGAGCCTTGGGAGCGTTTTTCGCAATATAACAGACCTTATTCCTCCTACACTGAAAAAAAGGCCTCTGGCTGTTGGTGGAGAGTGGACTGGGGTGTGTGTGAGGAGGGGTGTCAACGTAGAAGCAAGGAGACGAGTTTCAGTGCCCCAGGTGAGAGAGATCCTGGCATGCACTTGGGTGAAAACTGTAGCTTCCGGGGCCTCTTCCAGTGCCTTCGGTCGGGGGGCTAGTGTTTTGAGAGTGTGGGGTCCCCCTTGCCCAGGTGAGCTCACTTCCCAAATATAAGCAGGAACAGAAGTGACCTGCACTCTGAGGGCTTGAGCGCCCACCTCAGGCAGGAGCAGAGGGCCTGTGGCTTCAGAAAGTTGGTGGACAAGGACTGCAGTGGGGTGCTGAGCCCCTGGACAGGAAAGCCACAGATGCTGGTCCCCGGAGGAGGTTTGGTTGCACAGGCTAGAGGTGCCCTGGTTGTTTGTTGAGGGTTCCTTGTAAGTACAGCACGATGCAAAAAGGAGGCTGTAAATAATGGAGCAGCTCTGTGGGCTTGCTCAAGTTTCCCAAGGAACGCGGTGACAGTGTGCCTAGATCGCTGTTATCATTTGCCTAATGGAGGGTGGAATAAGGCCCTGGAATTGCTGAGTAGCAAAATGCTGCTTCCATCCTGACAGCTGGGGCAGGATCCTTGCTCTAGACAGTGCTCGCTGTGGAGTTTTCTTTTTCCTTGCTGGTGTCATATAATCAGGTAAACAGAAATGTGTGAAGTTTCCCTAGCTTTTCCACCAGGCCTTGCCCAACAGAAATGTTCATGTTATTATTGAGCACTTCTGATAGGCCGTGCGGGATGCTCAACCCTTCCCATTCACTGTCTCAGGCAATCCTTGCAGCAACCAGATGAAGGTAAGTATTATGCTCTTTGCCTTTTACCTGCTCTGACCTGTTTCAGCAGTGTGTTCTTGGACAGTCCTCTTGGCCTCTCTGTGCTGGTTTGCTGATTTGTGAAATGGGGATAATAAGAAGGGGTTCTCCAAGTGCTATCTGGGGACCCTAAGGAGTCCCTGAAACTTTTCAGAGGTCCATGAGACCCAAGTATTTTCATAATAGTTCGTAATAGCACTATGATATTATTTGTCTTTTTAACATTCATTCCTACGCAACTCTATGTGGCGTTTGCTTGAGACTAACATGCCCTGGGATAGCGTGACAGTTTGAATGCAGAAGCAGCTCAGGGAGTCCAGCTGCCTTCTATTGAGCCAGACATGAGGGAGATTTGAAAAACTGTAAAACTGTGCCACTCTTCTCATGAATTTTTTTTTCTTTGGAAAATATTGTGACTGATGATAAGAAAGTTATTTCTGTTAATGTGTGAAACTACTTAAAAAATGAATTAGTAAATATCTAAAATTTTTTTCCCATTGAAATGTATATTACAGTACCTACCAAGGGAAGCAACCTACATAAATAAAAGGTCTTGGGCGTTATCTATTTTTAAGAGTGTAAAGGAGTCAGACACAGGAGTCATTAACTCTGTGAGTTAATGCAAGTGAATGCATTTAGAGCAGCTTTGCCCACTGTAAGAGCTCAGGGACTGTGGCATCTCATCTGGTCTTCCTGCCGTGAGGTGACCCTCCCTGTTGCCCAGCAGCTTTGGCTTTTTGGGAGGGCAACTTGGTGACTCCCCGTCTTTCTCTTTCTCTTGCTCTGTTCCTGACTTTTGCCAACTCTTACTCTAGGAAACTGGAAGATGCTTACAGCATCCCACCTGCTACCTCCCCACAGGAAATGGTTCTTCATTCCCTTGTGCCAGTGGTCCAGATTTCTAGCACAGAGACTTTATACCTCCTGACTCTTGGGACTGTGTTTGTATCTGGATTATCTCGTTTGAATCAACTTTGTACTTGTGCACCCTGTCTTTGTTTTTGAAACCTCTGCCATGGAAAACAATGTGGGGTTATTGTGTTTCAGGGATTCCCGTGATTTCTGAGCCCAGTGTACTTAAACATCTTAGTGGGAAGAATTTACTACTGAATGGTTGACAATGTTGATGGAAGAAGGAGGATTTTTCTTTTATTTCTTTATTCTGTTTTCCTGTAAGAAAATAGCAGTGGGGATTTAGAGGGTGACGTTTGAAAAGCTTTGGGGACACCTTTGGTAAAAATGCAAGTCGACTTTGCTTTATGTAGTCCGCATACTTCTGAAAAGTTAAAGTGACTTTTAAAACCACATTGTCAACAAAATAGAGGAATTACCCATTGAAAGAAACTCAAATAGTGACCAGTTTTTTGAAATATGAATCATCATCTTCTTGTGCTGCAGATCCAAGTCTTATAACGTATGCTCTTTATCTAAAGTGAGATAGACTTACACACACACACAAAAAAATCCAAATCACGGATTCTTTGGTGTAATTTTAAATCTTCCTTTAGAGAGAGAGACCTGCCCAAGCTGAACTGTGAAGCCGTTTCTTTATGAGAATTGATGTTAGTTTGAAACAGTATGAGTGCACCCTTCTCCTAAATCAAGTAATTCAAAGTTGCCCATGGTCATCCTCATCTTACTGAATTACGTGGAAACAGGAGGGGTGAAGAGGAGTTGCAGAGGGTGAGGCGGGGAGAACTCTAACAAGAACCTGGAGATCCTGCTATGCTCCCCCTCTCCCCACCCAGTATATCAATTTAATTGTCCCAGGCTTGAGTGAATTGTAATAACCGTGTCATTATTTTGGCAGTTGAAGTTCTAGTTCGAGGGTTTAGTAGTTTCTTACAGTGATGAGCACTTTCCTGCTCTGAGGCCTGGTTTGGGTTGCTGGCCAGCAGTGAGTGTGGAGTAGAGGGGGTTGGGAATAGGGGAGGGAAATGTCCCTCTGTGGTGTTCAGTTGTCTCCAGAGGGTAAACCACAACAGCCCTTCCCCAAGGTCTCCCAACAACACCGGTGAGACTTGTATTTACCCCTCTCCGGGATTGTTACTTCTGAGTTCCCATAACTGGCTTCTGTGGCAAATGCCATCAACAGCTTTCAATTTTTATATGGCCTTTTACCAACAGCATTGGAAGGAAGTGGTCAGCAGATCGTGTATTTGCCACAGGGCATTTTCAGTGTGTGTCCTTTTGGGTCCCATGAATGATTTGATTATCGGCTGAGACAGAACGGATAAAGCTAACCCTCCTCCCCACTCCACCCCCCAACACAAACAAAGAAAACTCCTTGAAGAGTCCCCAGAGATAAGCATTTTTGGATATCTCCATGACTCATTCCTTCAATATTATTTTGTTGTTACAATGGCCAGAAGTTCTCCCAGTGGTCTGAGACTTCACTGGGGTAACTTCTTTCCTGGGACCCTTACTTACCTCTCAGAAAGTCTCCTTTCTGGCATATCTTGTTCTCCTCTGATGGAATTCTTTGTTTTCCCCAAAGTATCCTAGCCATTTACCCAGGAAAAACTCCCTTTTGACCACCCGGATCCCCCAGATCCTGTGATGTGAGAGGCTGCACACAGAAACCAAAGGCAAAGCCCCTTGAATTCTTTCAGGGCTGCACTGACCTGTCTCACCAGCATCCTGACCAGCTGGAGAAAATGTGCTCATTATGTGGCTCCTGATAGGATAAATTGTGATTTTTAACTATGATAAAGGAGTGCTGCAAATTATTTACATTAGAAATGAAATGCTCGCTGCCTCCCTCTGTCAAATAAATAAATAAAATCTTTAAAAAGGGGGGGGCACCTGGGTGGCTCAGTCGGTTAAGCGTCTGCCTTCAGCTCAGGTCATGATCCCGGTGTCCTGGGATCGAACCTCGAATCGGGCTCCCTGCTCGGTGGGAAGCCTGCTTCTCCCTCTCCCACTCCTCCTGCTTGTGTTCCCGCTCTCTTGTGTTTCCACTCTCTCTGTCTCTCGCTCTGTCAAATAAATAAATAAAACCTTTAAAAAAAAAAAAAAGAAAGAAATGAAATGCCATTGACGTATTATGACATATTATGAGGAAGCTGGCCTTTGAAAAATCTCTGACAGAGTCCCAGGTCTGAGAACTCAGATC